TACTTAACACAGCTGCTTGCGGTGCCCACATCCCAAATCAGAATGACAGTTTGATTCCTCCCCTTTGGATCCATCTTCCTGCCAATGGAAGCGAAGGGAAGAAAGGAAGGGAGGAAGCCAATGATGGCTCAACTGCTAGGGCAGCAGCCGACCATGTGGGACACCCAGCGGCAGTCCGAGGCTTCTGGCTTCAGCCCAGCCTGCCCCTGGCAGCTGTGGGCATCCAAGAACCAGGGGGTCTCAGATCTGTCACTTTGCCTTTTCGGTACAAGAAAGCAGACATTTTTATAAAAGACTATTGGAACTGGCATTGCACAGCAACTGGTTAAACTGCCACACCAGACATAAGCATCCCAATTTGAGTCTCGGCTCTTCTGGCTCTGACCGCGCTTCCTACTGATGAGCAAGAGCAAGCGGCAAATGGTGTCCAGGTAACCGAGCCGCTCAGCCACGTGGGCGATTCAGACGGAGCTCCCGGCTCCAGCCTGACGCAGCCCCAGCTGCTGCAGCCACTTGCAGGAGGTACCAGCTACCAGATTTGTCTCCCTTGTCTTCCAAATAAACATACCCTTCTAACAGACTATTTACCTCAAGGAGGCCATTTAGAAGCATACCGTGGCATTAGTGTTTTTATTTTAGTAAGATAATTTAAATTAAAATGCTGCAAACAAATGGTTTTTTTCTAAAGCCACATTCATGTACCAAGAAACTATTAGATATCATTCCTGTGTCATTTATAAATGAGTTAAAAACATGCTCTTATAAAACGCACGAAGCAGAGGTCTCAATGCCGAGATCCTCAGAGTTGAAACATTTTTCAAATCCCTGGAATAGTATCATCCACTCACTGGTACGCTGCGTTTCAGAAATCTCATGGAAACAATACTTCAACAGCTCTCTGTTGCAGTGCAGCAGAGTGTGTGTGTGTGTGTGTGTGTGTGTGTGTGTGTGCGCGCGTGCGTGCAAGGGAAGGGCGGGATGACTGCTATTTTCCTTCTTGCATGGGGGATGGGAACACAAGGTAGTTCTCACTAAGCTCCTCCTTGCTCAAATGTTTTGAAAGGTAGACCACAGCAGGGAGGGGATGCCTGTGACTGCCAGGGCTGGCCTGGTCATCCAGGCCGTTACCATGGGTGGCAGGAACTGAGCCACCACCAGGCAACACCAGCTGTCTCTCAGACTGGACAGGACGTGCGGATCCAAAGTAGCAGTCTAACCTACTGAACCACACCCACACGCCTGAGGAGTACAATTCCCCATCACAAAACTGGACCCTGGGGCCGGCACTGCTGCCCGCTACAACACCCATGGTTCAAAGCCACACCTGTCCCAGCTCCAAACCAGCTCCCAGCTTTTGTACCTGGAAAAACAGCAGAATGGGCTCCCATATCCACAGGACATTCACAGGAGGGCCTCCACAGGGAGTTCCAGACTCCTGGTTGAGTCTGGCCTAGCCCCAGCCACTGTGGCTACTTGAGGACTGAACTAAGGGTTGAGCTATAAGCACTGAGGGGGTCAATGGTGAGATTGCTACCAGCCTACTCCGAGTCACAGATGCAGAGAAGACAGGCACATTAGGACGTAATTCCCACAAGCTCACTCAAGGCATACTCTCCTTTCTTTAAGAAGATTAACTAATACATCATGACCAGCCTGTAGCATAGTGCATTAAGCACTGCCTGTAGCATCGGCATCCCATACGGGGCAGTTCACGTCCTAGCTGTTCCACTTCCAGCTCCCTTCTGACACACCTGGGAAAGCAGCAGATGGCTTACACACTTGGGCACTTGTTCCCACATGGGAGACCTGGAAGAAGCTTCTGGCTTCAGTCTGGGCCTTTGTGGCCATATGTGGAGTGAACCAGCAAATGGAAGATCATTCATTTCTCCCCTTCTCTCCATAACTGTGCCTTTAAAAATAAATCTTACTCTTTCTCTTCAGAAAAATGTATATATATTATAAAATGCTTTTTACGCAGTGATTTAAATTAGTCTAAGATTTCTGAATTAAAATCATAAACTTCAGGCATGTGTTCAGGATCTTAGTAAAATATATTCTTTATAAACTCCAATTAAGACACTGCTGACAAACCAAGGAAGCACTGACATTTCACCTTGCATAATTAAAACGTCCCCATCAGGGGTGAACACTACAGCCTGACAGCATGGCTGACACTTGGCAGCCAGACTGCACCACCGTGCCATACACCTGATCCAGGCTTTCCCAGGACTAACGGAGGCCCGGAAGCACCCTTCCAGAAACTTGCACACCTGCACACAAAGCTGAACCAGTGTCAAGGGGAGGGCTCAGGCTGGGACCCAGCAACTCCAGGGAAGTAACTACTGCCACTTTCCCGCAATGGGCAGACAGCCTCCAAACTCCACGCCTTCAGCATTCCGCCAGCCTCGGGCAAGGCCGAGGAACACTGGGGCGGGCAGGCGGCAGCACACAGGGGAGGGTGCCCGCAGCCCTACCGCAGCAGCGGGACTGCCAAGTCGGCATCACGGCAACCCTGAGACGCGCCTGCACCATCCCAGTCCCGAGGAGATCTCCACTTATCTGAACCCTGCAAGCTGTCAGCCACCACAGACATACAGCCATCCAGTCACCCTAACCACCTTCGCCGACACAGCTTGAGTCTCTGATTTCTAGGCAACTTTAAAAAAAAAAAAAAAATCAGGAGTTCTTTTCTAGTCCGAATTTCCCGATTCGTGGAGTTTTAAATGCCGCCTTCTTGAATTTCTCCTCTATTTACTTGCCAGTAAATAGTAACACAACAGTAACAGTAACACAACAGCTTATCATTCAAAATACCTCACTGTGAAAATCAGGAACAAGAAATGATTTAACTCTAGGGTAACCGAATAGCAAAGCCAGGAGGCCCCACTGGAAGTGGAGACTGAGGAGGGACGAAGCCCACGCGAGGCGAGGCGAGGCTTCCTCGAGCAATGCACTCGCACCCTGCCACCGCTCTCTGCAGAACTGCAAGGGACACCAGCACGGAGACAGTGAGACAAGCAGCACTCCAAATGGACATCAATTCGGATGGCAAATAGTTTATTCTCCACGGTTCTATTTATGACTGCAATTCTGTAATAAATGGTTCCAATCAATGCAACAAAAATACAGTAGAGACCATTATTTATTCATTAGCTCAAGCCTGGCTTTCGAGAACTATAAGCTGTCTCAGTCACCTTCAGCAGCTTTTTATTTTTTGTTTTGTTTTTATTTATTTTCATTGGAAAGCCAGATTTACAGAAAGAAGGAGAGACAGAGAAAGATCTTCCGTCTATTAGTTCACTCTCCAACTGGCCAAAATGGCTAGAGCTGAGCCAATTCAAAGCCAGGAGTTTCTTCCGGGTCTCCCACGCAGGTGCAGGGTCCCAAGGCTTTGGACCATCCTCAACTGCTTTCCCAGGCCACAAGCAGTGAGCTCGATGGGAAGTGGGGTGGCTGGTTCTGCCACCCCTATGGGATCCTCGCACATGGAAGGTGAGGATTTAGCCACTAGGCTTTCACACTGGGCTCAACAGCATTTGTACAACATAAAAAAATATCTCCTCACTGAACCCTATGTATTACTAAGGGCCACTTACCACCCGGAAGGCAATCTCTGACAAACACTTCTCAAAGAATGTAGCAACAATTCACTGTATTTGATATTTTCGTTCTTATATAATCCCATACCAGGGCCAAGCAAAAACAGTTAAATATTTTGCAAAGAGTAATTCATTTACTGAGATCTTATATAAAAAAAAAAATGGTTAACTCACAGATAGCAAACTGGTTAAACAAACAGCACAGCAAAAGTCTGCTAGTGAAAAGGTACCTGGGAAGGGGGCGGGGCTGGCGAGCTCCCCAGGCCTGCAGCCCTAACAGAGGCTACTTTGTACGGCAGAAAGGACATTTCTGAGAAGGTGCAGGGCAGGCCCTCCCAGCGAAGCCTGCCTGATTTTGCCAACTGCACCACGGCGCTAATTCTGTACGTTTATACGGTAAGGATCCAAGATTCCGCAGCTAAGAAACACATTCCCTCATCAATACACGCTTCTCTATACTTTCGCAGCGTGACTTTAAAAAAAAAAAAAAAAAGGCCAGAAAACAAGCCGACAACAACAAAACTCAAACCGAAAAACCAACTCAAGACAAGGCAACGCGCCGCCTTAGCCCAAGTGCATTATACGCCCAAGGTACGGATTTCGCGCGCACGAAGACAGCTTTCCCCAACCTCTGATGACAACCCCGTCGAGAGCGTTGGGGCTTCCAGCTGAAAACGGTTTCATTCACGACAAAACGTGCGGCTAAGGTTGTCTGCAGCTGCATGCTGTCACACGCCCCGTTACTTAAAACCGGGGCCAAACACGCAACCCAGGGTGGAAGGCCGTCAATTCCGCATCAGTGTCCTAGCGGCTTTTTAACAGTTCTTTCATTGGCTTGTTAATGTAAAACCAAATGCTCGGAATAGTTCGGTCTGGAGCACCGGGTAGGGATTCCAAGTTTGCAGGCCGCCGCCCCAGCCCAGGCGGAGGGGCCACCTCCCAGCGACGCCGGCCCGGGGGACAGCTTTCTCAAGTGGATTTTGTCTGGCCGCCTATTCGACGCGCACAGCCGCGGGCGGCGAGGCCCCACGCGCGGGACCCCGGCCCTGCAGACCCGGCCCACTTCTCTTAGCACGTGAAGTCGGTGAAAGCAAATTAAGGAGCTCCCCGCCCCCACTCCTAACTACGCAATGAAGTCACTTAACTTAGGGGGGCTGAAGCACCACGTCCCCAAAATTCAGAGTCAGCGGAACAAAACGCCCAGGGAGCGGCGTCGCTTCAATACTGACCGACGCCACGCTGTGTGCGCGTCTGTGCGCGTGTGCGTGTTTTTAAGCATCCACGGGGCGCCAACATTTCCACACCGGCCCCTCCCCTCCCCCTCTCTCCCTCCCTCCTCCGCCGCACCCCTCCCCCACCCCGCCAGTCGTTCCCCCGACGCCCCCGCGGGAAGCTACTCACCCAGCTTTTCCACCAACTTGAGCATCACCCCTCCGATATGCACCTCTCCGGTCACTCTGAGGGTGACATCCCGGTTCAGGTCCGTCACGTGGACGCTCAGCTCCCACGTCCCGTCCGCGTAGCAGCCATCTGGCATCCTTATCCCGTCCAGAGCCATAGCTCCTTCCTGCGCGCGCGGAGGAAATGGCTCTCGTTAGGCGTCACTCGCCCCCCGCCCCCTACACCCCAAAGGAAAGGCAGAGCCCACCGTGCTGGTCCCCGGGGGAGGAGGGAAGGTCGGGGGCGCGGGGAGCCTCTCCGTGGCCACTCGGGAGGGCTGCGAAGCACGCTCAGCGGCCCCGGCCCGCAGCGCCCTCGCCTAGCGGACCTCGGCGGGCGTCACCTGCCCGCCGCCCGGCCGCCCGGGGAAGACGCCGCCCGCGGGCTCCGCACCTTCCCCGGCCCCGACCCGCGCTCCCCTTCGGAAGGCAGCCCCGGCCCCCCGCCTCACCGCGCGCTCCTCGCGCTCCCCGGCCCCGGGGTTCGCCGGCCACAGGCGCGGGGGGCGGCGTCTGGCGGGGCGTCGGCGGCCGCGGCCCGCTCCCTCAGCCCACTCAGCTCAGCCTCCCGGCCGGACCCACTAATGGAGTCCCGGATCCGCGGCCCCCCGCCTCGCTCTGCGCGCTCCGCCCCTGCGCTTTGGGCTGGGCCCGGCCGCCTCCGGCTCCTCCCGCCCCGCGCAGCGGCCCGGAGGGGGGCACAGCCGGCGGGCCGGCCTCTCCTGCGCCCTCCCCGAGGCGGGGGCCGCCGGGTCCCGGCTGGAGGCGGAGCGGCGAGGGGCGCCTGCGGTGGCGGCGGCGGCAATCTCAGCCCCGCCGAGCGCTGCCCTTTTATGGAAGAGAAGGACCCGGCGCAGGGATGGAATCCAACATCCGGGCTCTCGGCGGCGGGTCCTGAGGAGGGGGAGTGCGGGGCGCGCCTCCGGCCGCCGGCGGCCCGCGGGAGGAAGGGGGCTCGGCGCCGGGCAGCGGCCGCGAGGGATGCCCGGGGCGGCCGGTTTGGGGAACCAAGGCCTCCCGCTGCCTCCTCAGAGCTCCCCGAAGTCCTGGGGTGGCGAGGGGGCGCCGTGGCCCGAGAGCCGGCGCAGAGGAGTCGGGAGACTTTGAAAACTTTTTAAAGTGAGCACCCAAGCCGGCTCCGTGAACGTCCCGCGACAATAAGCGAAGACGCGGGGCCGGGGGGCGAGGCGCGCACGTCGCGGTCCCGACGGGATCCGAGGGGGCGCAGGGGGCTTTTCCGAGGCCTTCACCCCTTCGGCAGCCCGAGCCCGGGAGCGAGCAGCGGGCGAGGCAGGACGCTCCCCGAAACCGCATCCCGGGCCTGTCCGGCTCCCGGGACAGATCTGCGTGCACTCGTGCCTCGCTGCACCTCCCAAGGAGCCGGGCTGGCCAGGTGGAACCGGGGTCACACTGCTCAGGGGTGGGCGAGCGCCTTCCTCTTGCTGCCTGGACTCCCACCGTCCCGCTCCCCGCTCCCAAGGGCACTCCTCACCAACAAACCCGGCCAGACTGCCTCCCGGGCCAGTGCCCTGCTCAGAATATACCGGTCGGAAAGCTCAGAAGAGACGCCACGCCAGATCCCAGTTTACCAAGTCCCAAGGGGGAAACCCACCAGGCAGAACAAAAGCCAAGTCAAAAAAAAAAAAAAAAACCGTTTTGCTCATCAACACATCTGGGCAAGGACGCTCAAGGCTCCACAGAGGCCTGGAACCCATAAAGGAGCCAACGCAGCGATGTTTAGTCAGATACCAGAGGTTTGGCACCAGAGAAACAGGGAAACCACTCGAGTTACAGCTCGTCCTCATGGAGAAATGGATGCCTTCAGATACCCAGAGAGGAGAAACTGTTTCTGTACATCGTGTTGAAAAATACAAACAGGTGGGCCCGGTGCGGTGGCACAGTGGTTAAGGTCCTCACCTTGCACGCCCTGGATCCCATATGGGCACCGGTTCTATCCCGGCAGCCCCGCTTCCCTTCCAGCTCCCTGCCTGTGACCCGGGAAAGCAGTCGAGGACGGCCCAAAGCTTTGGGACCCTGCACCTGCATGGGAGACCCAGAAGAGGCTCCTGGCTTCGGATCGGCATAGCACCGGCCGTTGCGCTCACTTGGGGAGTGAATCATCGGATGGAAGATCTTGCTCTCTGTCTCTCCTCTCTGTATATCCACCTTGCCAATAAAAATTAAAATAAATCTTTAAAAAAAAAGAAACAGGAAAATATTTTTAGTAAAATGGAAAATGCCTTTCTGGGGTTAAAAGAAAAAAAAAAAGCACTCTGTGCAACAGTAAAAATCTAGAGTGAATTATACCTGGGGCGGCAGGGGGCGGCGGGAGAAATACAGCTGATGTCCAGAAGCTGCGACCTCGGGGTTCTTGGAGTCCCTGTTTTCTGTGAATTGCACCATCGCATCTGCCACCTGGAGTCTGGTCATCACCCAGAACTGCACTCAGCATCGCCTCATCGCTGTGTGCATTTACAGGGGTCCGTGGCGAAAGCCACACCTGTGCCCTTGGCCAGGCCGTTAGGGGGGTTCTTTCTGTGTTTAGTAGTGTGGAAATTCACAAACACCTGGCACCGAGGAAATGGAAATTGTACCGCTATCTGTCAGCTCAACAGTACTGTCCGCGGTCTGCCCATCCCACAAGAACATCTTCAGAAGGAAAGCCTCACTTTTAAGAGTCACATTTTCATTTCTCCCCCCTTCTGCCCAAAAGACTTCAGGACATGGATAAGGAAGCATACACTGTGAGACAGCAAAAACGAGCAGTGGCACAACACTCACCAAAGGACATTCCGGGGCATGTGGAGGGGTGGGGCCGACGTAGCAAAGGTGCTGTGAACGGCATATGAATACCTGAGCTCCGGCACGCCTTATAGGACTCAAAATACATGGGTGCTTTCTGAAGGTCCCCTTTCCTCCAGACACCGTGGTTGAAGCGGTCTGGGCTCAGGCACCCTCTGGAACATTCCGTGTCTACTTTCTAGTTCTTTCCTCATCAGCCTGCAGCCACGGCACCTGCAGCCACGGCACCTGCCGCTCTGACCCCCGTGACAGCCTTAACCCGCTTCTGTGACGGAGAGGGGGCAGAACTCTAACACTGTGAATAGCTGCCCCATTTCTTGACATGGGAAATGCTTGGAATACGGCTCTAGCACAGATCTCCCTGGCTTTCAGATGGCAGCAGTTTCTGTTGGAGCAATGTCCAAAGTCGGGGAAGGCAGCCCCTCGCTCGTATATTACTGGGGGGAGATTGAGATTAGGAGGTAGTTTCAAGCTTTTGCTGGCTTTGAAGATGAAAGGGGAGTCGGACTCAAATCTATGAAACTGGCATTTTTTCCCCCTAGTTCATCAAGTGAGACCTTCGAGTGCATTTCTTAAATGTTTCCTTCAACCCAAGAGTTCTAGTATATTCTAACGTTTACTTTTATCTACAAGGCCCCCTCCCCCGCAACCTCTAAGACAATGTAAGTACTTGTGGTACTTACATCATGTTGAAAAGTAGCCGAGAACTCCAGTGTTTGGAAGAACGGCTGGAGCTTTGAAAGCAGCAATAGCCAAATAAGGTTCCAAGCGCTGAACTTCGACTCAGACCCAGTGATGCCTCACAGATCCTCCGTCAGACGCAGTGCTTGGACTCGCTAATCCCCAGGTCCACTTCAGCCGTTTCTCTTTGTGCTTTAAAAGGGGATTTCTGAGGGCTTCTTAGAAAGCGGAAGCACAGAGTTTGAGAGGAGAAAAGTTGGCAGTAGGAGAAAAGAGGAGAAGGTTTGTTTGAGTGTGGATGTGGGGTAGAGATGCTTCAAAATGCAACATGAGGCCAGCCGAGGGAAATGTAATGAATTCTCGCTTTCACCTGCCTGCTGAGCTGGCAGATACAGAGGGCTGCGGCTCAAGTGAGGAAAGGAAGGTTGCACAGCCACTTTCTTTCCCCCCTGTTTAAACCCTAGTAATAGCTGTCACTGTAAGTAGCAAGGCAATGACTGGCAATGACTAGCAACCTGAGAACTGAAAGAATTGCTGGGAATGGGGCTGTTGTCACAGAGCCTGAAGGAAGAACTCTGACAGTGCGATCCACTGCAAACGGGAAAGGCGGCACGCCGGGCGTTTACGGCTTTAGTTACAGAAACGTGGTATAGAAAGCCACATTGGAATCTCCTCATTTTCACTTCTGATTTAAGTACACACGTCAGAACAAACTTGAGAAGTGTTCTGAACTTTCACGAAAACGTGGAATGTTCACACACACTCACACACGTACGGTAGCAAGCAGGGCAAACAGGCTCAGAGTCCTATAAACCATGTCACAGCCTCTGCAGAAACATCTAAGGCAGGCGGCTGGTACTGAAAACAGCAGAGGCAGGCATCTAGTGCAGTGGCTGAGACCCATCTTGGATGCTTATATCTCATACTAGAGTGCCTGGGTTCAAGTCCTGGGCTCTGCTGACCCAATTCCTTGTTCCAGTGCACACCTTGGGCAGCAGCACATGATGGCTCAAGTGCTGGAATCCTGTTACCTGCTTGGAAGACCTCGGTTGAATTCCAGGATCCTGGTCCACCCTGGCTGTTTTGCTCATTTGGGGAGTGAAATCAGTAAATGGAACATCTCTTCCAAATGAATAAAATAAATATATTTTGAATGTGTAAAGGGAAAAAAAATCAGAAAGGATATCCACATATCAAAGAATGAATTTAGAGACTACACAGTATATACACAAATTAACTGAAAATAGATCATTAAGTGTTAGATCTCGAGTTCATGTAACCTTGGATTAGGCAATGGCTTCTAAGACATCCAAGCACAGACAGCAAAAGGAAAAAGAGTTAAACTGAATTTTAGCAAAATTTGAAGCTATTAAATTTTAAAGAAAAGTATCCAAAAATACACCCATAAAATGAGAAAAGATACTTGAAAGACCCTTATGTTGTAAGGGACTTGTATCCAGGAAATAAAAAGAGTTCTATGATTCAGTAGTAATCCGAAACCACCCAGCTCAAAGTGGGCAAAGGCCGCGAAGAGATGATGTGAACAGAACAGAGGGTCTATTCACTTTGGTGTCACCACATAGGCAGCCTCAAGTGGGGATTCCTCCTAGGAAAGCTTTATTTATCCAGGATGAAGGAGACAGTGGCCCAGGGTGAATTCCTAAAGAAATGTTGGTTTCTGAAAAATAATTTGCTACAACTTTTGTAGCAAGAATTAAGGGAGTGTCTAAGATGTTGAGTGTGGGAGAGCAGAGGACTTCTACTTATAATAGATGTCCTTGTATGTGCGAAAGTCTAAACCCAGTGAGTCTCTTTAAGCTTTTCTTGTCTGTGGTAGTCTAGCCTCTTCAGAGTTCAGTGTGGAAGTCTTTTCTAGAACATCCTTTAAAAAAAAAAGATTAAAAATTTTTTTATTGGGCCCGGCGCGGTGGCGCAAGTGGTTGGGGGTCCTCACCTCGCACGCCCTGGATCCCATATGGGCGCCTGTTCTAATCCCGGCAGCCCCGCTTCCCTTCCAGCTCCCTGCCTGTGGCCTGGGAAAGCAGTCGAGGACGGCCCAAAGCTTTGGGACCCTGCACCCGCGTGGGAGACCCGGAAGAGGCTCCTGGCTTCGGATCGGCATAGTATCGGCCCGTTGCGCTCACTTGGGG